CCAAGAACTCTTAGAAGTCCTCCAAGATTATGGGAAGGTGGCCGGCTTGAGAATAAATTACAAAAAAACTAAATTATTAACAAAGAATTGTGACATAGCCACCAAACAACAACTACATGAGATAACTTTGATGGAGATAGTTAAAAAAATAAAGTACCTAGGCATAACAATGACAAATAGAAACAGCACTCTAACCGAGGATAACTACTCCAAACTGTTAGAAGAAATAAGGGAAGACCTGAATAAATGGAAAGAACTGCACCTTTCAATATCAGGGAAAGTTGCAACGATTAAAATGAATATCTTACCGAGATTTCTAATTTTGGCCCGGAACATCCCGGTTTTGAGAAGAAACCAGTTTCTGGAGGAACTAGAGAGGATAACCAAAAAATTCATCTGGAGTGCTAAAAGACCAAGAATTAGAGCAAAATTATTACAAGAAGGAAAGAATAGAGGAGGCTTTGCCTTACCAAATTGGAAAATATACTACCAAGCGGCTTGCCTTGATTGGATAAAGGACTGGATCAAGCTGGAGGATGTGAGGGGCCTAAATCTAGAAGAAGCAGATTTAGTAATGGGCTGGCACGTGTATATTTGGTACGGGAAAGATAAAACTCACCTACATTTTAAGAATCATATCCTAAGGGCGGCTCTGTTAAAGGTCTGGAATGAAGTTAAAACTAAATTTTATACTAAAATACCAAAATGGGTATCCCCCTTGGAAGCCTTCATAAGACCAACCTTCCTTACCAAGTATAACAAAGAAACGTATGAAACATTACTAGACGAGACGAACCACCTGAAAACGGAAGAGCCTTTACTGTCACAATGCAATTTGAAATTATCGGGGTGGGAAAAAATCCAGTTAAAATCAAGATTTCAGATAGATCTGAAAGTGGGTTTCTACCAAGAGAAAAACGAGCTAGATAAAATCTGGCTCTCATCAAACGATAAAATGATCCAGAAACTGTATAAACTATTGTTAGAGGATTATTTGCCAGAAGAAACGCAAAACCATAATTTAGCAGTATGGAAGAAAGACCTAGGCCACGAAATATCTAAAGAATCTTGGTCAAAGATTTGGAAATCTGTAAAATATATGAGGGCAACAAATTACAGAGAAAATGTATTCAAGATGTATCATAGATGGTACTGGTCCCCAGAAAGGCTAGCCAAATGTTATCCAAATTGCTCAAATGTTTGTTGGAAATGTAAATTAAATGTAGGAACCTTTCACCACATGTGGTGGCGCTGTAAAAAAAATCCAGGTATATTGGAAAAATATACAAAATCTTACAGAGGAAATTTTGAAAGTAAAATTAGAAATGGTACCAGACATATTTCTACTTAATGTTATGCCAGATAAGCTATCTTTCAATGAAAAATATGTAATTGCATATGTAATAACAGCAGCAAGAATACTTTGGGCCAAA